GAACCAGAAATACCATTTGACCCAGCAATCCCATTACTGTGTACATACCCAAAAGATTATAAATCATTCTGCTATAAAGGCATATGCACATATATGTTTATTGAAGCACAGTTCACAATAGCAAAGACTTGGAATCAACCCAAATGCTGATCAGTGATAGACTAAATAAAGACAATGTGGCACATATACACCATGGAGTACTATGCAGTCATAAAAAAGATGAGTTCATATCCTTTGCAGGGAGATAAATGAAGCTGGAAACCATCATTCTCAGCAAACTAACAGAGGAACAGAAAACCAAACACCACATGTTCTCACTCATAAGTGGGAATTGAACAATAAGAACACATAGACACAAGAAGGGAACATCACAGACCGGGGCCTGTTGGAGGCTGGGGGATGAAGGGAGGGATATTATTAGGTGAAATAGCTAATGCAGATGACGGGTTAATGGGTGCAGTAAAGCATCATGGCATGTACGTGTACATACTTAACGTAATAAACCTGCACATTCTGCACATGTATCCCAGAACTAAAAGTATAATTAAAAAAATAAATAGTAACTCTCCAAAAAAATAAAAAGAGATGTACCTCCTTTAAGAAATCTTCTGAATTAACTGAACCCCATTTTAATTACTTATTTCTTCCTTTATCATTTAAATTATCTGTACTTTTAACCCATATACTTGTTTAGATATTCTTTTGAAGCATAATAACTGCAATTACTTCCTAATTGTTATGTATATTTTTTATTTTCTTTCATAATTAGAGCATAAGCTATTAATAGGCTAGATTATAAGCTCCCCAAGGCTAGGGATACCTGTCAATTTTATTCACTGATGGATTACAGGCATCTAAAACAATGTCAGGAATATAGAACTGTTCAATAAATACTTGCTGAATTAACAGGCAGGTATATTTCTCTTTCCATTCATGAATTTCTATGAACTCCACATATAATGCTAAACACACATATATGAAAATTTTAAATGCCTGAGTAAATGAAAATAGATATGCCAGATAATTTTGAAAACTTAAAAAATTCAAACAAGTTAATAGAGCCACAATAGATTAATTAACTCACTGGCTACAGAAGTCTCTTAGCTTGTTCATTACACATTCCCAGTGACTCTCTGTCACTACTGTAAGAAGGATATATAGTATCAGCTTATAAAAACAAAGTAAATGATTTAATGAAGAAGGAAGGTTTGAAATTCTGCCCTCCTATGGTGAAGAATTGTTCAACTTGGTTCTCCTTCGAAACTTAAGATTAAGAAAAACCAAATGAAAAACACACCAATTTCTGCTTTACTCTAGTCTCATTATATTTAAAATAAATCAGATAATTTTTAAAATAATAAATTTAAGAGAGTAACCTTATCTTCTAACAAAGTACTTGTTTCTTCCTAAACATAAACACCCAGAAGGCAGAAGACAGGACCACATCTTTCCATTAGAAGTAGAAAAATATCACTTTGGAGCCAAGCACATTCAATAACTACTGATAGACAGTGATTATTTTAAAAGCCCCTCAAATAGAGAAACCCATTTAAGAAATTCAACCTAGGCCAGGCAAAGTGGCTCACACCTGTAATCCTAACACTTCAGGAGGCCCAGAAGGACAGAACCCGAGGTCAAGTGATCAAAGACCATCCTGGTCAAAATGGTGAAACCCCATCTCCACTAAAAATACAAAAATTAGCCAGGTATGGTGGCAGGCACCTGTAGTCCCAGCTACTCAGGAGGCTGAGGCAGGAGAATCACTTGAATCCCAGAGGCAGAGGTTGCAGTTAGCCAAGATCACACCACTGCACTCCAACCTGGGCAATAGAGTAAGACTCCATCTAAACAAACCCCCTCCCCCCAAAAAAAAAATCAACCCAGAAAATTGATCTGCTTTTCAGCTTATGTAAGTCACTTAAGACACAAAGATCCAGCTACTCCCCATATAGGACTTTATAAAGAAGACCATCATGTTAAATATTCAATGAGGTAACAGATTTGTGAAGGATATTTTTTTCCTTTTCATTTTAAGCCATATATTATCCCATGAGCATGGAAGGATAACAGTAATAATTAGAATGCATAAAAATCATTGCCGATTACATAATCTTAGAATTTTATTACCTATGGCTAATGAAGATTAGAAAGCTCTAGCCTAAGTAAGTGAATTATTATACATTGAGAGCAATTATATTGCATAGAGAATCAATGAATTTTGGAGACAAGGTTCAAATTCTAGCTCTCCAGGTTTCTAGCTATTTGACCATAGGCAAAATGTTTAACTTATCTAAGCCTCAGTTTATCTATAAGATGACCAGTGTAATTTCTCCCTTGGAGAGTTAAGAGGAGGATTTTTAAAAGACAAAGCATAACTCTTCTGCTTAAGACCTCCTATAATACATTACAACCTAAAAAGTAAGTTTCAAACACCTTCAAAGACTATCTTAGTTGGGGAAAATGTTTTCCCGTTTTAAAATTTCTTCAAATATACAACCAGAAATGTCCAGTAAATAGACAAAATACAGCATTAAAGCCAGAACAAGGAAGACGAAACACATGCAAAGTTTACTGTCATCATGCATCTGGATAAATTCACTGAAAGACTGTTATTTTTGTAATTTGGATATACCAGTTATTTTTCTCTGACCTGCTACACTTGTCATGAGGTTACCTATGAATCCCTGCTTAACAAATATTTTTGCAGTACTGGCCTAGCACATTTTTTTAAATGTCCTAGGACAAATAAATAAACTCCTTGCCACTCTCCTCTCTTAGCATATTACAAATTTCTGATGCTGATAAATATAATGATTTCAGCTTGTGTTTTAAATAATCCCTTAAAATTAACCTTTTAGTTTATCTCTTACTCTCAAACACATTCTCTACTATTGTCCCCATACTAAAACACACTTTCAATTTAGCACAATCCAAGTGGTATATGGACACTGGTTAGTTTCAGACTCAACGTAAACTAAGTATTTCCACTCTCTCCCAAACATTTTCCTTTTTCCAATTACTGATGGAACTGTTTCCCCCACCAGTGAGTAAGCGCCTCTGAAGTCAGGAATCATAGCACCCATTTCCATAGCATTTAGCCCACCATCTATGGAAATGTGTGTGTGTGTGTGTGTGTGTGTGTGTGTGTGTGTGTGTGTGTGTGTATTCAGTAATATCTTTGTTTTGTTTTGTCTCCTCTACTTCCAAAAATCAAATCATTAAATTAAAACTAATTAGTGGCTTATCCTAACTACCATTTACTGAATGCCTGCTACACATCACTCTGTACTTTTTAAACCATAAAATATTATTTTATCAACCCTAACATACCACAGACAAATTTCCTGAGAACCAAAAATGTCAGTGGGGAAAAAAAAGAAATTTCCTAATTTTAGAGACATTAAAATGTAAAAAATAGCAGATGGTAACTATGAGGTGCCATTAACTAGAAGACACATTCCACACTTGGAGCTCTTAAAATGTAAGATAAAAATGTGCATTTTATACTTTAACCTCATTATAGAAACTGAAGGTCAGAGAATGCTTAAACACTTTGGCTGACATTAATAATTGTTAACCAGGTTTACCACATGGAACAACATCCAATAATTAGTAGAGAAATGGATCAAAAGCCAGCTATTTTAACTATTTCCCCCTTAATAAGTAAAGTATATATCCATGTGTTGATATGCTCAGATGATTACTTATAGCACTGTGCTGTATACATTTCCCTAACCATCCTATAAAAGAAGGTAAGTTCAACAGTTCATTGCCCACCCTATGAAAAAAATATATATTAATTACTAAAATCTGAAACTCATATTCACACATTAAAGGCAGATTACTATGACCTTATTTCTGTAAGTTTTCTTTTTTCAAAATGACACCACATGCTTCAATGTTTGAGAATACAAAGGGATCAATTAAGTCTCTCTGCATAGACAAAATATATGTTACAAATTATACCAAGGTGACTTGCCAGTATACAATTAAATATTTAGAATGTACATACTTTTCAAATGTTGGCACATTTTTGCCTGATGAGCAAATACATCAACCAATACATTTACAGTCATGAAGTAATACAATTCTATTTAACTCCATAGATATTTACTCACTTTTACTATTAAATATTAAAGTTTCTGAATTATAAATATTACACTAAATAACATAAAATTTAATTCAATAATAGAGAATTCTAAGGATTAGGCATGGTGGCTCATGCCTGTAATCCCAGTACTTTGTGAGGCTGAGGCAGGAGAATCGCTTGAGGCCAGGAGTTAAAGACCAGCCTAGGCAACATAGCAAGACTCCATCTCCCCAAAAACATGGAGTTCTTAAGTACCTGCCAACAGAATAGAAAAAGAACATAATAATGTGGTATTACATTCGACCTCAACCTAAATTTTTCTTAGTAAAAAAGAAAATAAAGAAAGAGCAAACAGTAATCAAGCTGGTAATAATTTTAAAATAAAAATTTGAGGTGATAGAAAAATCTTTTAAAGGACTGACAGAAGCATTTTAAAAAGTCAAAACTTAGCACTGCAGACAAAATTCTCTCCAGCTTTTTTTCTCCCTTTCCCTCTCCTTCTTCCTTCCCTTCTTTCCACATGTGGTAAATGTCAACATTTCCAATTATTTTATCTTATGAAATAAGTATCAATTCTGTATAACACAAAATAGAAAGAAGGCAAAAGGTAAGGGATTCTTTTTACATTAAAAAAATTTGTAGAAGTTATTAATAAAATGTCATTTTTCAAGAGTAATGACATTTGATAACTAAAGATTAAAAGACAGCAATTTGTTTTCAACCTAAGATCTAGTTCCAATATGACTGTGAATTAAAACAGATTTGTTCATCAGGTACATTCAATAATATATACATCAGATATCTCTCTATTTCTTAGACAAAGCATCATAGATTTTATAACATTTTATATTTTAAAAAATCACAAACTATAAATTAACAACTAATAACTATATCGAAATTCTCATCTTACTTCTCCATTTCTTAATGTTGTGATGGTTCCTCTTGCTACAGCCATTCTGAATAGTGTTTCTGTGGCCTGTAAATTAAAAATATATATATATAATCTATAATTTCTCCTCAATTGTATATCCCATGCCCTAAATGTGAAAAATATTCAATACTATTATATACCCAGAGAGCAACCCCTAGAGAACCATCAATAAGTGGTGTATGCCTATAGTCTGAGTTACTCAGACAGGAAGATCACTTGAGTCCAGGCGTTCAAGGCTGTAGTGAGCTATGATTCAGCCACTGCGCTCCAGCCTGGATGACAGAGTGTGACCCTGTCAACAACAACCAAAAAAAGTAGAAAAGAGGCAATTAGAGAACTATCTACAAGGGACAATAAGACCTAGAAATTCGAAATTATACCCCAGAAATATCATTATCACAATCTTTTAAGAGCTCAAACTTAATTGTTTCAAATGGTTATTCTGATAATCTGGTATTCTTCCAGGACTACAGTTTCAAAGTACTTTGCTTAGACAAGTTTAAACCTTAGTTTAATGAACAAAACTTAAGTTAAAATTAAGCATTTAAATTCTATTCAGAAGTTATCATTTATTTTGAATTTTAGTTTCCATTTGAATTTAGTTCAAATCACTTATCTGTTACTAAGGAACAGAAACGAAATGAAGTAATTTAGTAACGTCATATATTAAGTGACAAAATAGTTATTGCTCACTATAAATAGTTATTGCTCACCCCAAAATAGTTATTGCTCACTATACACTAACAATGAACAATCAGAAAAGGAAATTAAGAAAACAGTTCCATTTACAATAGCATCAAAAAAAAAATTCCTAGTGGGGAAAAAAGTGAAAGACTTTAATCTGAAAACAATAAAATATTGCTGAAAGAAACTGAAGAAGACACAAATAAATAAAAAGATCCTATGCTCATGGTTTGGAATACTTATTATTAAGATAATACAACCCAAGTGATCCACAGATGCAATGCAATCCCTGTTAAAATCCCAATGGCACTTTTTGCAGAAATAGAAAAACCCATCCTGAAATTCATTTAGAACTTTAAGGGACCCCAAATAGACTAAACAAACTTGAAAAAAAAAGAAGAAGAAAGTTGAAGAATTCACTTTCTGATTCAAAACTTACTACAAACCTATAGTAATCAAAAATATTTGGTACTATCATAAAGATGGACATCTAAGACAATGGAACAGAATAGAGAACCCAAAAATAAATCTTTGCATATATGGGCAAAGGACAATTTTTTCAAAAATGGAACTTAAAAAACTGGATATCCATGAAGCTGTCCTCACAGGGTTAACAAGAATTCTGAATAGAAATATAGTTATAATTAAGCATAAATCAGCTGCACTTTGACCCACTTCCTTGTAACCAAAAGTCTAAAAACAGTACATACTTTCCATTTGAATCCCCATTGTCACTACAAATAGGATTTCTGACACTAGGGCTGTAAGACTTTTGTTTAAGATAGATAGGATCTCTGACATTAGAATCATAAGGCTTTTGCTTATTCAAGATCCGGAATTCTTAATCAGATCCTGAATTTCAGTAGAACAGCTGACACCAACCAACTTCAAGATGCTCAAAGAGAAACCAAATCAGCATGAGAATACAGTTTCTTCATCTCCCTGTCCCATGACCTCACCCTGTACTCTTGGACCAACCAACCATCTCCAAATTCTGACACACTCCAAAACTCCCTTCAAAACTCTCGCCCCAAACTCCACAGAGAGATGGATTTGAGGTTTCCTCTCTTCTCGTAGTTGAGCAGCCCTACAAATAAACATCTATCTCTGCAGCAATCTGGTGTCTTGGTATGCTGACTTGCTGTACACATTAGAAAACAGACCTATTACAGTTACATCCACATGTAAAAGAATGAAGTTTGATCTCTACCTCTACCATATACAAAAATCAACTAAAAATAAATCAAAGACATAAATTTAAGATCTAAAACTATAAAACTTTTAAAAGAAAGCATAAGAAAAAAGCTTGATGACATTAGATTTGACAATAATTCCTTGGATATGACACCAACAGCACAAGTAACAAAACTAAAAATAAGCCGGCATGGTGGCTAACGCTGGTAATCCCAGCACTTTGGGAGACAGAGGCAGGTGGATCACCTCAGGTCAGGAGTTCGAGACCAGCCTGGCCAACATGGTAAAACACTGTCTCTACTAAAAGTACAAAAAATTTGCGGGGCACGGTGGCACACGCTTGTAATTTCAGCTACCAGGGAGGTTGAGGCAGGAGAATCACTTGAACCCGGGAGGCAGAAGTTGCAGTCAGCAGAGATCACGCCATTGCACTCCAGCCTGGTCAATAAGAACGAAACTCAGTCTCAAAAAAAACAAACTAACTAACTAAAAATAGATACTGGATTTCACCAAAAATTAAAAACTTCGGTGCATCAAAGGACTCTATCAACAAAATGAAAAAATAACTCATAAAATAGAAAACATCTGCAAATTGCACATCTGATGAGGAGTTAATATCCAGAGTATATTAAGAACTTCTACAACTCACAAATACTAAACAAGCTAATATAAAAATGGGCAAAGGACTTGAACAGAAATTTATCAAAAGAACATATACAAATAGCCAATAAGCACATTGAAATGATGCTCCACATCACTAATCATTAGGGAAATGCAAATCAAAACCACAATGAGACACCACTTCACACCCATCAGAATGGTTATTAACAGAAAGATAGAAAATATCATGTTGAGAAGGATGTGGACTAATTGGAACCCTTGTGCACTGCTGATAGGAATGAAAAGTGGCACCGCCACTGCAGAAAAGAGTAAGGCAGTTGCTTTTAAAATTACACACAGAATTACCATACGACCCAGCAACCCTGCTTCTTGGTAGGCTGAATGTAGGCTCTCAAAGAGATATTTGCACACCCATGTTCATAATAGTATTATTTATAACAGCGTAAATGTAGATGCAACCCAGGTGTCTATCAATGAATAAATGAATAAACAAAATATGATATTTACATACAATGGAATATTATTCACATTTTAAAAAGAATGAAATTCTGATATATGATACAACATGGGTGAACTGAAGATATTATGCTAAGTGAACCGAGCCAGAGGCAAAACAGCAAATACTGAATGATTTTACTTATATGAAGTACCTAGAGTAGTCAAATTCATTGAAACAGAAAGCAGAACAGTGGTTACCAGAGGCTGAGAGAGGAGAAATGGGGAGGTACTACATGATGGACAGAGTTTCAGTTTGATGACAAAGTTCTGGAGATGGATAGTAATAGTGGCTGGACAATAATGTGAATTTATTTAATGCCAGTGAACTGTACATGGAAAAATGGCTAAAATGGTAAATTTAACATTGCATATATTTTACCACAATTAAAATAAAATAGTTATTGCTATTTCCAATGCTTCCCCATCTTATAATTGCCAAGGATTCAGACACTAGTAAAACACTCCTTAGAACTGTATCCAAAAAATGGAAACTCCATTGATACCGTGTAGAACACTATAATATACAGGAAGAAAAGGATATTGATTTGTTTAGAATTTATTGAACAATTATTTCATAAGCACTGTAAAGGGCAAACTGAAGGAATTAGTGATAGGGTCAATTTGACAACTCCTTTAGTTTTAAGAAGTTTACATCCTATGGGGGGAAACAGGAGAGGGGCAGTGGGGGGTGGGGATTTGGGGAGAGAGAGCATGGGGAGAAATGCCAGATATAGGTGAAGGGGAGGAAGGCAGCAAATCACACTTCCATGTGGGTACCTATGCAACAATCTTGCATGCTCTTCACATGTACCCCAAAACCTAAAATGCAATTAAAAAAAGAAGTTTACATCTAGGGGACAGTGGAAGCAAATAAATACAAAAATAAATAAGTCATATGCATGTAAATATGTACAATGAAAAAAATAAACATGATAAGTATATAAAGAACAATGAGGTAGAAGGGATATTTTAAATAGACTAAATCAAGGGTAGCCTCTTTTAGGAGATGGTAATTTCAGTGGAAACTAAGTGAAACGAGAAAGTGAACAGCCAGTATGAATATGACAATGATCACGACAGTAATAATTGCTGACACTAACTCAATACTTACTATTTGCAAAAACCCCCCTACAAGATTTCAGTATATCAACTAATTTGAAAATTGGAGGAAAGAAGGTTCCAGTCAGAAGGCCACAAGAGCCTATAGGTAGGATCAGGCTTGGCATGTTTGAGGACAAGTAAGACGGCCATTGGGGCTGAAGGAAAAAGAATGAATGAGATGGCTCAGACAGCATGATGGTTGAGACAAGAAGAGGATGCATGTTCCTCTGTTCAATATGTGCTTTTATTTTTCTAACCTGGTATAAAAGGAATGCATTTCTAACCTTTAATAATCAAAAATATGTAATTTGAAGGATACTCTACCAAACATAAATTTTAAGAATTTATACATAAACTAGAAACATTACAGAATTTTAAATTTAAAAACTAAATATATATCTAATAAAATCAAAGGGTACAAGAGGTAAAGAATTGGAGAAGAGGTAAGGAAACTGATATATGTGGGAGATGTATATAAAAAGATGCCTAACAGATATTATAGAACTGCACCTCAGAGTATAGGTAAGAACTATCAATATCATTTTGGCGTCATCAGTGTATAAAGGGTTGACTGTAACCAGAAAACTTGATAAGACAAATTACAAAAGCTGAAGAAAAAAATAATAGGAAATAACAATATATAAAGTGAGGCAAAAGAAAAGGATACAGCAGGGAAGGCTAAAAAGCAACAGGAGGGCCAGGTGGTGGCTCCCGCTTGTAATCCCAGCACTTTGGGAGGCCGAGGCAGGTGCATCACCTGAGGTCAGGAGTTCAAGACCACCTTGACCAACATGGTGAAACCACATCTCTACTAAAAATACAAAAAATCAGCCAGGCATAGTGGAGCACGCCTGTAATCCCAGCTACTTGGAAGGCTGAGGCCGAAGAATCGCTTGAACCTGGGAGGCAAAGGTTACAGTAAGCCAAGATCGTACCACTGCACTCCA